TCTCTCTCTGTCTCTCTCTGTCTCTCTCTCTCATGCATCCCCCACCATTCCCCTGACCTCCCCATCCTGACCAGGTCCTCATTCTTCCACGTACTAGTTGTGTAACCCTGCTATGGGTACATGACTAACCTCTCTGAGCCTTGGCTTCCTTATCAGCAAACTGAGGTGAAGAGACCCCGCTCAGAGCATTGCAAGGATTAAATGAGATAACGTTTGGAGGTGCTTAGCACACACCGTGGGGAATCACAGTAACCGTGGGCTCTCTCGTTCCAATCCGTTCTACTGCGGTGATTGTTTCTGTGTCATCTGCAGACACTGTTAGTGCCCGAAATCTTCACCGGACATGTTAACCAGCTCTGGACTGAGTGTTCCCCCCGCCCCAAGGATGGTTTCAGACTCTTCCTCCTCCAAATCAGCGACCAGCCGGAGCCCCGTTTCCTCTGTCTCTGACTCACTGGTCTTTTGTGTCCACCTTCATTTGCCCGCAGAATCTGTGTGGATGGGGACATCCCCAAACCTGGCCTCCCCCAAAAATCATCTGAGGAGCTTTTAGCACTTGCGAACACCCAGGGTGAGTCCAGGAGATTCAGATTCCTTAGGTCTGGGGTGTGCTGGGGCATGGGTATTTGCAGACATCCGGAGTGACTGTTTGGAGGCCAGGCACCCGAACTTCTAATCTGAGTGGATGCTCAGGGGACAATGAATGAATGAATGAATGCTAGCACTTTCCTACAGGCCTGTACCCTGGACTCGAAGGTGTGTGCCCATGTGTCCCACGGGCTTTCAGAGCACGAAACCTGAGCTGCTCCCCGCACCCCGCCCTTATTTCCTGTGCTTCCCCTCATCTCACTCCCCACCTGTGCCCTGCCCTGTGTCTATTGCTCCCTGTTCTGCCCGCCTCCCCCACTCCCTTTCCAGTTTCCCACCTGACTCCCATTAGCTCCTACTTTCCTCCTGTGCTCCCTCAGCCAAACACCACCTCCCACGGAGACATTTGCAAACTGGGGGGCCTTTCCTTGTCCCAAGACACTTGTGTGAGAAGAGGCTTTGGACACAGTAGTTACACAAAACAGATTTATTGCATGAACCGCAGTGACTAACAGGGTCAGAAAAAAAGTAGCAGAGACGTTCCAAAGAAGGGGCTGGTAGGGGATGAGGGAACCTCCACCCTCTCTCCGGGGCCACCGATGAGTTCCAGGCAAGAAGTCTCTGGGGTCACAGTGGAGGGCCTCAGAAGGGCGCCCACTTCCCTTCTTGAAGCTTCCTCCAGCCTTAACCGCATGCGTTGAGGAGAGCCCTGGGCTGAGAAAGGGAGTCTGTGGGAGATTCTGGCCTGTGAGGAGGAGACTAAGCAGAGACGGGCCTCTTCCTCTGCTCCCAGAGCGGGTGCCAGCCCAGGGGTGGCCAAGCTCTCCATTTACACCAAGCTAGGCTCTTCCTGCCTCCACGGAGCAAATCTTGTCCTTCACGTCCTGCCCGGAGTCCTCCAAGAACAAAACCTGGAATATACACACCCCTGCCCCCAGCTCACAAAGGCCCACCATCAATTTTGTCCTTGAGGCCTCGCTGGTGGCATGAAGTCGGGCCGTCCGCCCTGCTGCACCATGCCCCGCCCCCCCCCAGCCCAGCAGGAGAGGCCAAGGGGTCCCATCCTGATGGCGAGGTGAGAAATAACCCACCCAGTGCTTTTCACCCAGGCAAGAAGGCGGCCTCCTTAGGGAGAGGGCCACAGACCCTGGACAAAGGGAGAGTGGCAAGGAACACACTCATAAACTCAGAGCAGGGTCGGGGAGGCAGGCGGGGAAGGGGCCGAGGGAAGCTCTTACCCACCTCCTGCTTCCCTCACGGAACTAAGAAGGATGGGACCCCGCACACTGGGTTTCCCCAGGCCTTGGAGACAGATCTCCCCAGAGGGGCCCCAGCATTAGCATAGACTTCTCTCTTAAAGCACGGACCAGCCGTCAGAGCCCCCAAATCCAGTGGGGGTGGGGTGGGCTCACTGTATTCTATACTGTCTCAATATGTCCCTCTTCCCCCAAGGACATTGTGTGAAGAGTGGAGAAGCGGTAGACAGTCAGGGGGTCGTTCACACAAGGGATGAGTGACGCTCGTCCATGCATACCCACACACCCACACACACACACACACACACACAATTCTTGACACCCAGCAGCACCCAGTGCTCCAGGAAAGTGTCCTGCGTGGGGATGCCAGGCTGTGGTGCGGAGGCCTGCAGCTCACAGTTCTGGAGGAGGCTGGAGGGGTGAGGAATCAGAGAGGGAAGCCAAGCAGCATGTCGACTAAATACAGACTCCCTTCTTCCTCGATGTTCCCTTCCCGACTCCCTGCTCCTATAATGACACCCAGGAGCCGGCCATCCCTTCACCAACCGCGTAGCCTTCCAACTGCCACAGGGAATAGAGGCTGAAGAGAGGGTCTGAGGAAATCTGCGAAAAGCACACCCGGCGGGCATCAGGGAGGGGCTGCCGGAGGGGCGGGCCCCCTTCTGGGATCCTTAGTGCCTGAAAGGACAGTGAACTGATCCAGTTTGCAGGAAAGTTCCACAGCTCCCAGCTGCAGAGGCTGGAGCTAACTTGGCCGACACCAGTCCCTGCTGCGCTGTCAGGGAGCCCGAGACCTAGAGCAGGGGCCCTGTGTGCAAGCTTCAGGATTCTTAACCCTTAGGAGCCCTGCGGAACCAGGAGGCAAAGAGGGGAGGAAGGAGGAATTGAGGGAAGGAGTGTGCTGCGGGGGAGGGGGTGGAGGCAGCAGGTGAGGATTCGGAGTGGGACGTGCAGATAGAGCGCAAAGCAGGGGCGGGGAGAAGGGAGAGAACATTAGGAAGAAGGGAGAGCAAAGAAAACGCTGGGTATCCAAGAAAAGGATTCGGGGGCAACACACTTCACTTGAGCCAGCCCGACTTCCCGTTTTATACAAATGGGGAAACTGAGGCTCGGAGAGGTCAAGAGACTCGTGCAAGGTCCGCCTCACAGACACCGAGTGGCCGAGCAGGAGTCCGCGGGCCTCAGTCTCCTTCCACTAAACCACAAACCTCTGACCAAGGCTCAAGGAGGAAGGAGACAAGAGGGGGCAGGGAGGCAGGGAGCAGGGAAAAGGGTCAAGTGCAAGGGAGAAGGTGCTATCATGCTACCTGACTTTCAGAGAGCAAGGGCAAAGGCCGGGGCAGGGCAGAGGACACCGGACCCCTCTCTGACCCCAGTCCTAATCAACCACAAGGGTCTCCTGGCTGTAGGGGATGGACTTCTCGTGCATCTGCTCGCCACCCTTCCCGGAGTTGGGGCCAGGCCCCTGGCTGTGACCGGAAGAGTAGCTGGCCGACTTCTCCCCGCTGCTGCTGTGGGAGGTGGCCCCGCACCTGCTCCGGCCGCAGCAGAGCATGGAGGTGCAGGCCTGGCGGAAGCGGGGGTCGAAGAAGGCGTAGAGGAAGGGGTTGAGGCAGCTGTTGACGTAGCTAATGCAAGTGCAGTAGGGGAAGACGTTCATGAGGAAGATGTCGAAGTCGCAGGGCCAGTGCAGCAGGCTGCCCAGCATGTAGAGCGTCTTCACCAAGTGGTAGGGCATCCAGCAGAGCGCGAAGGTCACCACCAGCACCACGATGATGCTGAGCAGCCGGCGCCGCTTCCGCAGGCCCTCGATGCGCTCCTTGCGGAAGTGGCCGGCGATGGTCTGGGCGATGAAGAAGTAGCAGGTCAGCATGATGGTGAAGGGCACCACGAAGCCCACGGCGGTGGACGAGACCCCCAGGCCCACCTCCCAGACCCACTCCGAGCTGGAAGTGGCTACCATGGAGTAGTCCATGTAGCACTGCACCTTGGTGGTGTTCTCCAGGTCCCCGGTGGAGCGGAACACCATGACCGGCATGGCCAGGAGGGCGGCCAGCACCCACAGGACCGCCGTGGCCACGGCCCCGCTGACTCGCAGTCTCAGCCGAGCGTTGGCCACGGGCCTCACGATGGCCAGGTAGCGGTCGAAGCTGAGCCCGGTGAGGCAGAAGACGCTGGCGTACATGTTGACGAAGATAACGTAGCTGCTGAGCTTGCAAGCAAAGGTGCCAAAGGGCCAGTCGTAGTCCCGGTACGTGTAGGTGGCCCACAGCGGCAGGGTCACCACGAAAGTCAGGTCGGCCACGGCCAGGCTGGCGATGAAGATGTCAGCCGAGCGTCTCTTCTCGCGGCTGCTGCGAAACACAGTCCAGAGCACCAGGCCGTTGCCCGTGGTGCCCAGGAGGAAGACCAGCAAGTAGATGGCAGGGATGAGGGCCCCCGAGGACTTCCAGTCCGTGTACTCGCACTCAGACTGGTTGTCTGCCCCATAGTAGTTGTCAAAATCACCAGCCTCCTCCATGCTGGGCAGTGGAGAGAAGACGGGCAGGGGGTCCCCGGGGTACCAGCTCCGTGGCTGTGGCACCAACTCAGCAAGTGCCCGGAGCTTCTGGCTTGAGCCTCACAGGGCAGACAAGAAGGGCTGAGGGTGTCCAGAGCCCTTCCCAGCGAGCGGGAGGAGGTGCCTCTGGATCCTGGAGGATGCCTGCTCCCTGCAGACTTCCCTCCACCCTCTCCGGCCCTGTCCTGGCCTCAGCTAAGACGCTTCCTTGCGCCCTCCTGAGTCTCTGTCTCCTCCTTGTCTGGTCACTCCCTCTTCCCACCTCCAGACCAACCCCTCACTTGGGAGTCTTAAGATCCTTAAGTTACAGCCCACTTTTTTTTTTTTTTTTTTTCCTCCTTCTTCTCCCCGGGCAAGTGGACCAAATTGAGCCCTGCTGTGCTGGACAGAATATTATCTGAGGTTTGCAGCAGCCTGCTCTCTTCCTGGCCCCGCCTTCACCCTCTGGCTGCCACCCCCCTTCTCCCCAGCCTCTTTCCCCGGTTTCTTCTGGCCTTCGGAGCACCACCTCCCCAGTCCTCCCCCCCCCTCACTCTCACCCCCTCCCACCGCCTCTAAACGGGGCAAATTATGCAGATTGAAATCCAGCCTGAGCTGGAGCCCCGACGGGTGGGGGGCTAGGAGGGTGTGAGATTTCACAGGATGCTCTGAGCATCTGGCAAGCCCTCCTGGCAGGCTGGTCTGGCCCCTCGGCTCTGGCCCCCACCCGCCCCTCCTGCCCTCCCCACGCCCCCCCCACGCCCCCCTGCCCCCCGCCAGACCAGACTTCACTCTACCCTTCACAAGAAGTCATCCTCCTTCACTCCTCCATTCTGACCCTCTCTCTGGGAACTTTTATGGTTTACAGGCAGGGTTAAGGGGATGTCTCTAGAATTCATAAGCGGTTGGCAGACTGCAGTTTGCAGATGGCCTAGGAAGTTTTAGAGGGTTGAGGACAAAGTCCCAGGAAAAAGAAACCCCAGATAAAAGTCACTAAATCAAGTCATTAAATCTGTGGGGAAACTGAGGCCTAACGAGGCAAATGTCTTGCTCAAAGTCACAGGATGAATCTCGTTACAGTTCTGCTGTTGGCTTTTCTTCTTCTCCAAGCTTGCCAAATAGTAGGTGCTTGCCAGATAGTGGGTGATCACTAAATGATTGAGGGAGTAAAGGCATGGATGAACTGGGGAGCAAGTGAAAAGAACGGGCCGTATGCGCTAAGAACATAGGCACATTTCAGTCTTTGGGGACCATGTCTCTAGGAGACTACGTAGCCAGGGGAGGAGGCAGAGAAAGGGACGGCCCTGGGGGGCTGCCGTGGGCACAGTCCCACACAAACTCACTTTGCCCGGTCTGCTCATCTTTCCAGGACCTCTGGGCATAAAAGAGAGAAGGATGCGCAAGACATGATTTTTAAATATACCCCCCAAGAGTGGAGGAGTCCATCTAAGGTTGGGCAGGGATAATAAGATGGGACAAAATCAGGACACAAGTCATGGCCCCATCCAAAGCAAAGGGCTTTTAAAACCAGAATCCCTCATCTCAAAGGAGGGTTGGTCAGAAAACCTTCTGCAGGAATCTTAAAGCAGGGTCCCCAAACTCAAATACCCACAAGGACCTGGTTAAGAATGTTCTACATTTTATATGCACTTACTATCCCTTTTAATCGGCACAGTGACTTTAGGAAGTAGGCACTCTTACTAATCTCCACTTAATAAGGAAGCGAAGGCACGAAGGCATGGGGAAGTGAAGTAATTTGGCCAAGGTCACTCAGCTAGTAATTGTCAGAGCCAGAATTCGAAGGCTTGAGCGCATGGACACACCCTCTAAGTTCCCCTCCCCCCCAAAAAAGAGAGAAAAGGAAAAGAAAACCCCAACGCTTTTAGATTAGGGGTTTGTCATCTGCTGAGCATTATAAAAACGTAGGATAGCACTAGGATACCTGTAATTTACTCTAAGATAAGCTCTCTTGAGTAAAATTTTTAAAAGATTGATGAAACGATCCGAAGGGGGTACGTGCACCCCAATGTTTATAGCAGCAATGTCCACAATAGCCAAACTATGGAAAGAGCTTAGATGTCCTTCAACAGATGAATGGATAAAGATGTGGTATATTGGGGCACCTGGGTGGCTCAGTAGGTTAAGTGGCTGCCTTCAGCTCAGGTCATGATCCTGGGGTCCTGGGATCGAGGCTCGCATCAGTCTCCCTGCTCAGCAGAGAACCTGCTTCTCCCTCTCCCTCTGCCTGCCTCTCTGCTTACTTGTGCTCTCTATCTCTCTGTCAAATAAATAAGTAAAATCTTTAAAAAAAAAAAAAGATGTGAGATATGTACACACACACACACACACACACACACACACAATGGAATATCATGCAGCCATCAAAAAAAAAACAAATCTTGCCATTTGCAGTGACGTGGATGGAACTAGAAGGTATTATGCTAAGCGAAATAAGTCAATCAGAGAAAGACAAGTATTATAAGATCTCACTGATATGAGGAATTTGAGAAATAAGACAGAGGCTCATAGGGGAAGGGAGGGAAAAATGAAACAAGATGAAACCAGAGAGGGAGACAAACCATAATAGACTCTTAATCTCAGGAAACAAACTGAGGGTTGCTGGAGAGGAGGGGGGTGGGAGGGA